CCCCCCCCCCTAGCATTATGTGTTTTATGAACGGTCCCTTTTTATTTTGTTGCTTGCTTTCCCTTTCACTAAAAACTATGTCCTACGTCTGTTTGCAGTTCGACCACGGAGCCCCCTCAGATTAAAGAGGAACCTTCGGAGGGTGACGAATTGGACTGCATCGACAACCAAACGGACGAAGAGGGCACGTCCGCAGAGGACAGCACCTTCGGCAAACCCAGCATCTTCGAGTGCGAAGTGGTCCTCAGCGAACAGGACCCTACTAAACAGGACTCTCGCCTCGAGGATTCCACCGAACCTCAGCCTAAAAGACCCCGCGGGAACTCAATCAGTCACGTGACCGGCAGCGACAACCCCTCGGAGGCGCACTCCACGCAACTGCCAGAAATATCCGACAGGTGGCGCTGCTCGCCCACCCGCGACGGAGATCTCGAGGACGCGGACCTTTGCTTCTTCAAAAGCTTGTCTCCGGACCTGAAGAAAATGACGCCGCGTCAGAAGAACCGATTCAGGGTCTCTGTCTTGAATTGTATCGATGATGTTTTGTATAAGGATGTAAGGGATGAGAATTCCTTAGGTTCTTATGAGTGTACTCCGAAATTTTGAGGCGCTGGTCCTAGAATCGTGTTTGGATCCGTGAATTCTAAAGTGCTTGACGAAAAATCATTCAGTAGTGACAATTTGCGATACCGTGGTCCGAGAAACATGCCATCAGCTCACCCACCGCGTTCTAATCATGGTGCTGGATGGTGGCTCATGGGACCATTGGTACATCAGCTTCTAATAAAGCATAGCACTCGTGCTACCGGTACCACAAATCATCATCCAGAACCATGTACCATGATTACTACCATCGCTGTGAGTGAGGTTGTCAAGTGATTTTCGGAAGACTGTACCTCTGTTTATACCAACCTAACGTTCGGACGATTTTTTCTATTAATCTAAGTGACTTAATCAATTTCAGAAATTAAAGCACGATTCTATGATCAGCGTAACTGTTACACGTTGAAACGGATTTACACGACTTCTTTAACGGTCTTGCTCTCCCACCATGTTTCTCTCCCCCCTGAAAATTCCTTCTTAATTAGTTTAATAGTAGAGTCTGTTAGGTCTGTGCCAAAAACCACCCCCCATGATATAATTTTCCTCCCTACTCAGATGGAAATGAAAACTGATACAAATGAATGCCTACTCGGAACTCGCAGTAATGTTTTCTTTATAATCTCATACAGATATCCTTTAAAAATTGAAAAAGGAGAAATAAAATCTTCATAACTAGAACTTGACATCCAAAAACAAAAAGAGGATTCTTCCAGATATTCTAACCTGCTGTTATCCCGTCTCTTCTCTAAAATTCGATACCTTTTCTCTCAGATTTTTATTTTCATTTTCCTCCACCGAAGAAACTTTTGACTACTCTTATTTATAATTTGTACCAATTACCTTTTAAGTTTAGATAGTAAGTAAGTACTAATTCCAATTTCTCTAGCCAAGCGCCGCAGCGACTACAATTTCTTTATATTGCTCTCCGAATTTTTTCTTCGAAATTGCCGTAGGCAAACGCCTAGAAGGCTATTTGCCTTGAAAAGTTTACTTGGGTATACTTTCCGGTTGACTGTTACATCTAATATTATCAACTATGGTATATTCGTTACCTGTCATTAACTTTTACTTTTTTCTTAGTCTGTAGTTAAAGCTTACTTTTTTATAAACTCTGCGTTGAGTATATTGACGCACCACAGAACAAGGCATCGTGAAACAACAGAATGAGACACATATTCTACGATTCATTGATCTCAGTATTTAAACACTTCTTGAGTAAAACTTCATTTTCCCTAACTCTTTTCATTTTCAAATTTTTTTTTCTGTTTTAAAGTGCGGTGAATTCTAAATGAATTCTCTTTCTCGGCCCTCTTTATCTATTTTTCTTAAACTGTCATGACGCCAGAACTTACGGATTTGAGATATCATAAGCTTTTGACAACAAATATCTCGCACATGTAGTGCTTAAATGTTTTCATTTAATTTTTGACACTCATGTCGTGTGGTACATTCCTTTGGTTTTGAAAAGCAGGGTGTTTAAAAGATTTTTACCTTTCAGCTTTCTTTTCTCAATAATACCATGTATGTCGACATTTAAAAGAATTTGAAAAATTATTATTTAGAAATCAAGTACAAATACAGTCCTCTATTTTCAAGTTAATGTTAAATGTTTGTGATAATAGAAGTTAAGGCTAATTGTAGTCAAAATTACATTACTTGTTTCTCAATATATTTTGCTTATTATCATTGATCTTATCCAAGTCTTAAAATAGATTGAAAAATAGTTTTCCGATTCACAAAAATTGCATTACCTAAATTGATGGAGGATTTTTCACAATTTCATTATGTGTAGGGCATACCTGCACCTGCATTAAATCCACTGTTCTGGTATGATACATCGAAAAAATTAATTTACGGTCTCTCAGATGTTAAAAATGTGTTTGGTGATGTGTCACAGTGAAGTTTGCAGTTACAGGATGTAACGTTCACTGCCGGGACAGCTCAGCTAGCAGGCTATTTTTTTCTGTGTACTCTGCATTTACAGGATGTAACGTTCACTGCCGGGGCAGTTCAGCTAGCAGGCTATTTTTTTCGGTGTACTCTAGGCAAAGTAAATAGTTTTTGAACTACTTAAATTGTGAACGATCATACCTAATATTTGGTCGTTACTCCTGTCTGAGGATAGGATTGAAGGATCCTTTGATGGTTCAAATAGCTTATCTTCTAATCGCTTCAAGTCCTGAGCCATATCATCCTAACAGGCGCTGATAACTGATTAGTCGAGTATATCATTTTGGATAGACTGATGTGTTAAAAAATTCAGCTGACGCAAACGAAACCGAAAACCTAGGAAAATGATGAAATTTCATTCTCCAAAAAAAAAAAAGTATTGAGTATTTCATGTGAGAAAAAAGTTCCACAGAATATTGCAATATTATAGGCATGGAAAAGACATCAGTACTAGGATAATAATCCATTTCTGTGAATAACGGGTTCTCACCATTATTTTTTAACATTTTTCAGATTAAAACTTTCACTCTAAATAGGGCCACGGTTTTCTCTTCGTGGAATGAAATAAGCGAACTCAATCCAAATTCTGTAGAAATGGAGAAACTCACGTCAAACTACTCCAGAGGATGAAGCTTTGAAGTCAAAACATTTCATATGAGGTCTGCTAATAAACCGAGCAAACTTTATAATTAGAATTGTATGCTGAAATGTTAGGAATGGTCCTCTGAAGAAATTCTTTAACACATTTCTTCTTTTAAACTCCCTAAAATTTATATTTTATCAGGTATACATTTCATTCGTTTTTCTGTAATGTTTAGCATTTCTGTCGGTTCAACTAGATTTAGTTCGTTTCCTTTAAATACAGATGGCATTTGATCCTAATAACCTTTTGTTTCTGGGAAAAAAAATCGATTTTCTTGAATATCTGGAGTCGGGTCGTTTTCGAATCGGCAGATTTCAGTAATTTTAGCTCTGCAAACGAAAGTATTTTTGTTGCGACAATATTAGTTCCGTTCGGACAACCTAAATTTATGAACACAATAAGAACACACTCGTTGTTCCAACTAGAAAATCTTACTCGGCGTAAGTTAAAACCTAACCGCGACGGAAAAAATTGCGTAGAAATGCTGCTCTCTTGAGAGAAAGAGCCTAATTTTCCAAAAGATTTTAAAATTCTATATTGATCACCTCTCTTTGTGACATTGTCTCGATTGTTCTGTGGAAAATATTGAGTTTTCCGGTCTCTTCAAAAAATCAGTATTTTTTGGAACATTTCTTGATATTGATCGATCTGCTTAAAAAATAGGGACTTAATTTCAGCCAAATCCTGAGAGAAAGAGGGGGAGGTCAAAAGTTGTTCAGGAGAAAGGGAGCTAAATTTCTTTGAGAATGCGGGGGGACTACAGTTCAAAAGATCAAGAAACAACAAAAACATGATACCAAGTCCTGGAAATCAACTGTAAAAATGTTCACATTTAATGTGCGTAGGGAGAGGAGCAATTTCCCCTCCTCCCCAAAAACAGCCCTGTAAAAAACGCGCCTTTGCAAAGGCGGAAGGTAAATCGAAAAGCCGAGCTTTGCCTGCTCCGTCAAAGAATTACCGCGGCTAAATATGTCGATCGACCTACTCTGCGAAGACCACTGCTGCTGGGAGGAAGGTAACTGAAAAATTCAAATCTCACGAAATTCAGCGCGCGCCCCCGTTTTTCCCGCGTTTACGCGACGCGCAAGGGCGCATTAAAATTTCAAATCTCGCGACCTGGCACCCGCGCTAAACCTACTACAGAACTTCTCCATTTGCCGCCCTGCCAGATCATACGCTGTAATGAACCGTAACCTAACCTCTAAATATTCACACTTTCAGGCGAGACGGCAACCCACTGGCGTCGGCGGGACCCAACGTCAACGGTGAAAACGGGGACGTCCAACGCTCAACATCCACGACTCACCGGTTCCACCAACCATCCACCGCCTGGCGCGACCCAACTCCATTTCAATAATTGTGAACTCCCCATTATTCCATTTACCCTTCCACCCTTATTATCCTCCCCCGGCGTTCCCTTCGCAGCGCCCCCGCTCTCTTCCGTTCGACCCCCTCCCCGCATACGTCACCATTTTTTACTCTTTAATCTTCGCCTCCACCTTTCCAGTGCTTCCAACTTTTCATCCAATTTTTTTCCTTGGGGTTTCCCAACGTTTTCCATAGCTTCCTCCGCCGTGTCACTCCTTCGCGGAGGGATGACGAGGACGCGGGGCGGGCTGTAATGAGCCTCGGTTGAACTTTAATTTTTTCCCCTCCTCGAAATTACGACTGACTAATCAAACAGTCAAAAGTTTCCCGCGCTGAAGTTTGAAGTTTTCCCGGAAAAAGCGAGGACAGGGAATTTTCAACTTCGGACAGGTGAGTGCACCCCTATTTCACTCCGGTGAAATTGGAATTATTCGGATTTCGACGAAATTTGCGGTGCGCTCTGAAAGTTGGTATTGTCTCACGAAGCTTTGCACAGAGCGCAGAAATTGCGATTTCGCCATGGCTTTTGAGAGAAGTTTTGCCGACAGAAATTGATTTCTTAAGAGGAAAGGAAAAGTAACCGAGGTCAAGACAGGACAAACGATGGTCTTAAAATATGAATGCAGGAGTAAAACTAAGATTTAATTTTGGAGAAGCAACTAAAAGTTTCTTTTTAGTTTTAATGTGAATACTCAAAGCCCCGCATACCATGACCATATTTTTGCCACTCCTTGCTTTTAGTTAGCCATAAAAACACGTTGAATTTATTCCTTATTTTTCTTCAATTTCTTTTCCTTTTCAGAAATTACTTTTCACTCTTCAAAAATAAATCATAAGGAAAAAAATTAGACTTCGGGATTCTCTACTCTATAAATTACGTTACCTATAAACGGGCAGTTTTAATGAAAATCAGTCTAAGCACATTACCCTTGGTATAATTACCAATAATATTTACTTTGTAATAACAAGAAGCTTGAAGCGCCGAAGCCTGCCTTGAAATATTTTCTTCTGGGTATATTCTTCCTGCCGTAGGGAAAATTCTTGGAATGTTTGAAGCATCGTTTTGCCCATTATAATGAATTTTAAATATTATAACAAGAGAAAAAATTGGACGACATGAAATGTAGTTGAGCTGATTAACCATCAACTCACGAACCAGTAGACTCTCGGCGAACTTGGCACTCAAAATTACGTACCGCTGACTGCAAAAAAAAGGAAAAAAAACCTCCATAACAAACTAAGCCGAGGGAGGGAAGAACGAGGAAACTAGCCTAATTTAGTCGAAAAATTGAAATAGCTTCAAAATTGCCTTGAATGCTAAAATGGTACAAGAAAGCTTAAATTCAACCGACGCCAAATTAAGTAGGGCCACCACTAAGTTTCACGAAAGTTTTAAGGTTTTTTTTTTCTAAGTGAGTGCCAGTTATTTTTTCCGCTTCATGTATTGCGAAACATTTTTCTCTGATGAGTTCTCAAAGGTATCGGAAACGGATCTCATAAACCTGCTCCTTGAGATTGATCAATCACACAGGGTCTCGTAAATGTCTCGTTACGGCGCTAGGGGATATAAAACGCCTGCCGATTTCAGCGATGCAATACCACACTCAGCGCGTGGTAGAAATTAGTCTATACAACACAAACTTTTAGCTCACCATTCAAATTGGAATTTTCAAATTAAATCACATTGTTTATCTCGCCTTGCAAGGGTTTATGCATCTTTGGTGATCAGGCTATATCATTATTGACGATCTTCGAAATATGGTAATCACGTTTTTTCTCTTTTCAAAACCATCACAAGTACTTGATGGTTCTATAAATACACTCATGATGCAGGTTGCATCGACCAGAATCGATTGTTTTGCATACATGCATGTAGGGTGAGCACTGCTGCTAAATTCCGAAAATCCTTATAGACGAATTTATTAATTGAGGGAGGAAAATCAAAAAGCACCTGGACTTTATTTGAATTTTATGATCCTTTCCCCATTCATCCTTGTTTCTGATGAAATTTTTTTAAAATTCAGCATTGCTCAGCAAGGAAAAGTATGAAAAACCTAGCCATTAAAGCTGTGTAAGATTGTAAAATGAACAAAAAATATGGCCGAACTAAATGAAAGGGGGTTTTTCCACTTGGTAATGTTTGTGCATGTTTTATCTCATTTTTCAACACATTTCAAATGAGCTGCTCAGTTATGTATACTTAAACCTAGTCGAGCACCCCTAAATTATTTTATAAGAAAGTGAAAAAGAAAAAAAAAGAAAAAAAAAATTGCCACGATGAATGAAAGCTGGGTTTGCGAGGAAAATTAAAAATAAAATCTAAAGTCCTGTTGCAGCATTTCTACATAAAATTCTCAGAGCATACAAAATAACACAGTGCGCTTGTTAAAAGTGTTGATTTCGCACTGTATAAAAGTGATTTACTCCACATAAGAAGCATAGATTTCGCCACGTTTTTATATCATTCGGTTCCCTGGGGGAAAATGGCTCCGGGATGAAATGCACGCCGGATTCCGGATTCCGCCCTGAAATTTTTCAGGGCGAATAGTTGGCAATCAAAAAAATTTGATACACAGCATTACATCTTTAAAGTCAAACCTATGTGTTCTTCAGCCCGTCCGACTTCTTGCATCCGCAACTTCAATACTGCCATGCTATGGGAAACAGTAGCGTGGCGTGCTTTGCGATGTATCGATTGTTATGCGATTTA